ATATATAGTATTAGTTATACTTAGTAGTTACTTAATACTTATATTAATTACGTAATTAGTACTATTTAAGTTACTTACTAGTATACTATACTACTACTACTATCCCTCCTTCCTCAGGGCTTGGGACCTGCAAGACCAGCTTTGGGCCGACCATGGTGGAGTTTATATGTTTATATTATTTACATATACACACATGCAAATCCTTAATAAAGTCATGAGAATCTGTGTGCTAAATAGAGTCAACTTTTGAATCAACATCAACACTTCAGCTTAAGCCAAAGGCAATTCCCCCAATTTCGCACCAATTAACAATACAAACCAAACAAAACTCAAACAACTGATTCAATTACACAACCCAAACAAAAATAAAAACAAAACAACTAAAATTAACTTATTGACCAAGAAACAATCAAAATTATGCTAGAGAACAAAAAGATAAACCCCAGAAAAAATAAAAATATAAACTAAACTGTGCATGTTCACACAAGTAAAGTTACAAAATAACCAGAGAAGAAAGGGAAATGAACTTCATATAAAATTTCAACTCAATAAGCTTGATCAAGTGTGAGAAAGAAAACTAAACAAGAGAGAGACTCACCAAACTATGCCATAAGCCACTCTTCCTATGGGGCGAATAGGGGGCACATACTTGGTGGGAACCTCGAAAAGGTTACCAAATATATTGTATCGAACGTAGCGACCACCACGAGTGAGTACCCCTTTTATATGCCCCTCTGATGAACCAGATGACCCCATCTTCATAGCCATTAACATGAATAAAAAACCCTAGTTTTTCCAACTTATAACAAGACCAGAGCGCCCATGGAAGTGCACAGAACTCCACGAAACTTACAACTTCCTCCTCCCAAAGAACTTGTCACAGCAGGTCTCTCTCTGCAACCGAAGATTGTCCGATGTAGAAATGGAAAACCAGAAGAAAAAGAGATTTTTGGTGATAGAATGATGTCGCCGTCTTGTGCAACTACCAAGGTAGAGAGAGAAAGACAGAGGGTAAATTGGAATTAATTGCAGGTGAAAAGGTAATCAGTTGACTTATTGCTTTATAACCAATTTCACAAAAAAATGGAGGCAAATGTGACGTTGCATGGAATCATGCGTGAAGGGCAGAAATGTAAATCACGCGGAATCTACTTTCCAGTTAGCTTACAGTAGAGACTAGAGACTACCAAACTTTAGTTGAATGTCTTAGTTACAGGCCACTCGGGCTGACTGCTCGAGCCTACTATACCATCTAAAAATGGTTAAAAAAAATTAAAAAATAGAAAAATTTGGAAAAATATATTCAAATTAAAGTTTAACGAAACAAAATTAATTATGTTAAAAAAGTAGCAAAAAAAATATATTTTTAAAAAACGAGTTTGTGAAGGGGTATTTTTGAAAAAATTAAAAAAGATGGGAAAATGTAAAATTATGTATTTACGGCCAAAATATTTTCCAACCTTTTCCAAAATGGTAGAAAATATAAATGCACATGTTATAAATATATCTCTTACTTTTTTAGGATTTTCATAATTTTTTAAAAAAAATTTAAGATCCGCGAGTTGGACCTCCAACTCGAAACAACTTGGGCTTCCTAAGGACCCGACTCTTCGAACGCCGCTTATGCCAATTTCTCATCATCATACTCTTGCTCGTCGCAGTGGTAGCACCAAAGGTTTAAAGACGCACTTATATGACACCCCCCCTTATCGCCTCCATTGAAAATCAATCTGGATCAGCAAATCAGCGGTCTGAATCCACAATCTAATCTAATGAATCGAATGAATGAAAAATTTTAAAAATTGGGGAAAAAAATTATAAAAGAAATATTAAAAAACAAAGTGAGACCGGTTTCTCTAATAAAACTGTATGGTTCTCGATATTTAGGCAGAGCTCGACCAGCCCCAACAATTCTCGATCCGAGTCGGCCGGTTCCAGTCTGACTCACCGATTTCAAAACCTTAGTAGTACAATGTTTGAAAATTTGGTGATCCAGACACCGTAGATCCCCCTTGAGTTGGTGGATAACCCAAATGTCGCTCGGAATTGGAAATTGGCTTAGGTCAAAGTGACTTGCCTTGTTTTGTCAAAAAATTAGACATCTCAAAATTATACTATTTTGTAAAAATAATTTCTCAAGTCCCACTCATTTTGTTTTTTTAATACCATTTTTTAAAAAAAAATTAGTTCTTTTTTGGGTCAATTCCCAAATGAGTGAATCAGTAAAATTCCGTATGAATGAGCAATCAAAATTGGTCCAGCAGACCAATTTAGAACCTATTGCGTTATAAAACCCAGTTGATACTTTCTTTTTTTTTAAACGGTTAAAAAACCTAGTTGATACTATTAATATCAGAATTGGACCAACCAATGAAGAAGTAAGTGATAAGCTACAATCAAAACTAGTTGACTTGTTGCTTTATCAATATTTTAAAAAGAAATTAATGAAAAAATAGAAATCTTAGTTTAAGGATACAAAATATGTAACTAAAAAAAAATTGTCTAACTTTATTATGTTTGGCTAATGAAATGTTAAAAAGTTACTAATAAAATAAGTCAAACAATGATTTTGACTCGTTTTCAACCAAATCATTACAACGGGCCAATATTAAAGTTCATACCCCGAGAGGGATAGACGTATGGTGTACTGAAAAGGACGGGCAAAAAAGTCATATGACGTATGGTACAAATAGAGGGCATCCAAGGCCTCATCTAGGGGTGTAGTAGCACTGATTGCTTCCGGTCCATAATTTCCTTTCTTGCAAGTCATTCTTGGTTTGAGAAATGAATAAGAGAGTAGGAGATGTTCACGATTGCATTATGTTTTAGTTCCATTGGAGTGAGGGAGATAAAATGTGACACTAGAGGCACGATTGCATTATATTTTAGATACTCCTTTTGCTTTTCAATTTTTGCGTTAGGTCAAAGTAGGGGAATAATAAAATATCAACAAACCAAAACATGGTTAATAAATTAGTTTTATTTTAAAAATTATTATTAAAAGATCAGATAAAAAATGTTGATCGCCCAAAAATAAAGTAAGTTATAAAAACATGAATATTTCAAACTTGGCTCAATAAAACAGAGTGAATAAATTAGATATGTAAAAATGACACAATATACGAAGCTATAATTTCACCATCCATATAGCCTAAGACATTTGGAAATTTGATTAAGTTGGGGTGAGTTTGGACTTTGAACTGCACCCTTAGGGATATTCTCATTCCAGAATTAGGGAAACATAACCCTCTATGTAAGACCCGACAATTTCTTATCTGGATCACTGATGTGGATTGAAAAGCAGTTGAGACCAAATCAGTTTTGAAATGGTATGGGTCCTGAACTGGTTCCCACATACATACCCCCTACGCCCTCCTCCCTCCCACTTCATTAAGCCCTATCTAATATTTTTTTAAGTCCCCTTAAATCCTTATTTTAATTTTTATTTTATTTTATTTTATTTAAAAAAAACAAATAAAAAAGCAAATAAAAAAGTGGAAGCTAAGCAACCTAGTTCCTTGTCATAACCTTTGTTCTATCTGTGAACTAATAGGTTCTAGCAAGAACCATCCGATTACCAATAGTGTCGAAGAACCGGTACAATCCTCATTTTGTAAGTCAGATCAGACTATTCAATCAGAACAAAGGGTTTTTTAAGTATTATTTTGTTGTAATATACTCATGAAAGTCGAAAAAGATCAGAACAAAGGGTTTTTTAAGTATTATTTTGTTGTAATATACTCATGAAAGTGGAAAAAGATAGATAAACAATACAAAGCCGGTCTGGACCTTAGTAAGTAAAGCAAGCAAAGTCATCACGAGTCATGACATGGATTAACGGATGATACTCGGTATCCCAAATGTGTTGCTTCAATTTTATTGGAAAGGATGGATGACACCATCATGTAATGTACACACGAGCGTGTATAGTGTGTTCCTGCAGGAGTATGCTATAAACAATTCCCTAGGATAAATGAGTAATTTGGGAGGATTTTTAAATCCAAATTTTTTAGATCTATCTAAGTGTTATCATATGATTATTTTAAATATATATATATTTTTTAATCTATTGAACACCTTGCCCTTCAAAAATTGAATGGTTCTTGTTCTATGTTGGGATGTTAATCATATTGAGTTACATAAAAAGTCATATTTATTCTTTGAAGCCGGTTGTTAGGTTATATAGGCTACATCTCCAAAATCTGGGTTCTAAATAATATTCGTAAATGAGTTTTATTTGATAGATCAAATGAACAGTATGCTCTTGCAAGAGCATTAGGTCTTTTCACTATACATGTATAATGCATTATGGATTGAAAGTGGCCATCGAACTTGACTCCATCACACCATAATTAATGCCTGCTCAATTCACACGTTAATCCCATGGAGATCTCACCAAACCTAACCCTAAAAGCAATACAAGTCATTACAGCTCACAAATATAATGTGTTCCTCCCACCGAGGTCCACTTTTTGGTACAACCGTGGAGTACGATAAAGAAAAAAATAGAACGTGGTGGTTAAATTTTTGACGATTATTCTATGTCCAACAAAACAGGGGTGCAGTTTGCATACGGATGCATCCGTAGGTGTAGAGGTAACGTGCACCTTCAAATTTTATGATGGTATATAATTTTGATGTAAAATGTTATTAGGATTATCTCAAAATTTATTTTTATATCTAATTATAAAATTTTAAATTTAAAAAATGGTTAAAATCAAGTAGATCTATAAAAATATGAAAATTTTGAAAATGGACGGTGTAGATAATATGTTGTAAAATGCACTTTTTCAGATGCTTAAAATCTTTTTATTTTTCATAGTCATATATCTCGATGTCGAGATGATCAATCAAAGGGTTTTTCAATATTAAAACTACCTTTTTGGATGGATTTTTGAGGGGCATCCGTGGTTCTACATTATAATGTAACATCCTTATATAAACTTTTTCCATAAAATAGACACGAATTGAGGTCAGCTGAATATGGTAAGGGTTTTTTAAGGTCTTTCTGTTATGGACGCGGTTACTATGCAGACAGCCTGCATATTGTAGAAATGTGTGTTTTGCAGTAAAAATATTTTTTTAATATAATTTGATCTAAATTTTTAGGTAATATATAATTTTTAACATGGAGATCATGAATATGAAAAAAAAATTGAAAACTAAAAATAATAATTATATTAAAAATACATTTGAAATGTTAGTTACACTTGTTTTAGATGGACCACCTATTTGCATCCATCTTTAAGATGGATGCTTTATACCTCTAGACCACATATTCCGCATATTGTGGAAATGCGGTCCTGTCCGTATGAAACAATTTCCCTTGTGTTATAGTTTTGTCCTTGATTTGATGTTGCAAATATATCAAACCACTATTTTTTTTTTTAGTTTTTATTTTTTTGGATCCTAAGGCAAAGACATCGGACTACCCCATTCTAGAGCAGTTCGATATTAGAAATATTAGATTGCCTTATATTTTTTTATTTTATAATTTTTTTTTACACTTGGTCCGGTCAAATGTATGCAACATTGCATCATATTAAAATTAAAAATTCGTATGTATCATATTTCCAGCATAAGATCACCCCATATTCACCTTTTTGGGATTACAGCAACGGCCACTATAATATATGTTAGGAATGGCCAACAACATATTAAACTTTAGAAAAATTTATAAAGAGACCATTTATTTTTAGTGCAAGGAGATCACAATTACTCTTGTCCATCAAATTTTTAAGGAAATATGTTTTATGAGTTGGCTGACTTACTATCTCGACGTCCATTTTTAAGATGAACCTCCATAATTAAAGATTCCTATCCAATGGATAGGAAAAATAATCGTTAAAAAAATATTTTAAATATTTATTTCCTTTTAATTTATTTTTTGTATTCGTTATCATAATAGTATAGATCATAGATCTATACAAATTTGGATCAAAGATCTATATAAAAAAAATGAGTGTTAAAAGCAACTCACATGTGAATAAGACTCATAAAGAACATGTCCAATTTTAAATT